TGTCTCCAGTGGTCTCTATGAGAAGTGTCTTGGGGCAGGATGGTTTTTCCATGCATCCCTTCTGCACCCTTTCTCTTCTATACTGCATATTGCTTGCGCTCCCTCTGTGGCATTTTCCCACTGTATTTTGTATGATTGTGTGTGTGTGAAGCAGGGTGTGAAACTTGATTGGATGCTTTGATTTATTCTGCCTCTGAAGAGCTGCATCCAAACTGGCTCAGTTGTGTGGGGTAGAACCACACACCAATGCCCTCTTGTTCCCCTCCCCGCAGTGGTAACTGAAACCTGATGGATACTGCAGTGGTCCAGTGTTGTCCAGTCTGGCAGTGGTAGGCAGCAAACCTGGGTCCTTTCTGGGGTATGGTGGGCCGGAGGGCCTGGGGGGGACTTTGTTCTTGGCAGCTCTTGCCACAAGGAAATTGCAATGCCGATATAATCCCTGCTGGGAGGTGTTTCCTGAGGTATCTGAGCTCTGGGTCAACAACACCCACACCACAGCTATTAAAAAGGAACCTTTGCCCAGAGCTCTTCTTGAAATGCTTTGCAGAAGGATGAGGTAGAGATCACTAGGGCTGCAGTCGGGGTCTGCTCCTTTTCCCTCCTCCCTCTTGCAGAGGCAAGTTGATCGCTGGCCACGGCTATGGTACATATTCAAGGTCAGGTTTAAAGGCTCTGTCTGCTCTCAGGCTGCAAAAGACAAGAGCTGGACATCTGGGAATGGGAAGCAGAACTTGTTAAAGTAACTCTGTGTATCCCAGAAAGAACGCCTCCCTCTCCAGAATCATTAGTGGACCATAATGTGCTTTGGAGATGGAGAATGGTAGCTCTGGTGAGATGGGAGCTTGGGGCACATCCTGGGCACAGAGCCGAAGGGCTATGGGCAGGGTGTTGAAGGTTACTTGGGTGAAACTTTCAGTGAGTTTGAGACCTCAGTCAGCACTTGAATGCTATATAAACACTCTGGATAGATAAACACGTGCATGCAAAACCGCTCAGCAAGCTGTTGTTGGAGGGAAGTAAATGTAGAGGGAGAGCAGCGCTGGCGAGGGCAATGCGGTCTTTGGCACGGCGCAAGCTCCCTGTGATGCCACGGTGCTTGCAGCTGGCTGAGTCCTGTCCTGTAGCCTACATATGCTTTGGGGCTCTCCAGAAGGATGGAGGTGTGTTTTTAATGTCAGACAGCTGCCTTTCTTTGCATGATGCTTTTCTCCTTGCAGCTCAGGGAGCAGCAGATCCTTTGTAAGCTTCTCTGTTTCTCTGCTGTGTTGGTGGAGGTGCCTAAAGGTCTCAAATCAGATTCTGAAAGCTTTCTGTACTTTCTGTACAGTACTGGAAATTGGTAGTGGTTCTGAAAATGTTGGCGAGACTGAGTGACTCGATACAGACGTTAGCTGATGGCCATTTGGATATGCTTCCTCCTCAGCCAAGTCCTCGCCCCATTGAAGCTAATGGGAATTTTCCTTGAAGAAAGCCATAATAAAATTGCATTTTCTTGCCATGGAGGAGGTGTTTCATGTGTTCAGGAGAACTTCAGCTATCTGCTTTGATTCTTGCCACACTTGTCACGCCCTGCACAAAGCGCTCTACCTTTTGATCCAAAATAGCACAGAAGATGTTTTCCACATGCCATAGGAAAATGGAAGAACTATAAAACATAATTGTTTTGGAGTTTGGCACTGCTCTGTTCACAGATATATTTAGTGTGAATTGAAATTGGTCAGCAAAAAGGCGTTTGCTGGGATGACAAATGGATTAAGATTGTGTATCTGACTCGATTGCATACCTGCCCATCCCATGCTGGTGGGGTTGGTAGGTAGTGGCTGAATTGATCTATAGTCATAAGCATGCATGCACATCTCTTTTCTCTTGCACAGCGTTATAAAGTATTATTTGGCTGTGAATGGCACTGTTTGGCTCTCTGTTCTTCCAATGTCAGTACTCAATATTTCTGCTCCTGCCATTGCTGCATGGTCCCTTTTAGCTCTTCAAAACGAGGCCCACCAAACCTGAGACTCCTCCATGAAGGAAAGGTGGGACTGATCTTCTCCATCCTGACTCCTTTCCTAGTTGCTGGAGTAGGGGGAAGCCATGATTGATGCTTGAATGAAGAGGACAGGAAAAACAGGTCCTTCTTGACTTTAAGCCATCTCTGGTAGCCCTGGGTCAGTCAGAACTCCTAAGGAGCAGCATGGGCTTTGAGAGATGGAAAAGCTGTGCTGGGGCTCTGGACTCAGCCCAAAGTGGATCAGCTCAGCAGCAGGGAGGAAATCGTGCAGTTGATAGCAGCTGGACCTCTTTAGCCTTCACTCTGGGTTTGTTCCTGTGGCGGGTGCCCGAGGAGCCAAGACCGACCTCTCCCGTCCCTGGGTGTGTTTGTGCACATGGGCTTGCACACTCTGCTCCCACCAGGGGTTTTCTTTGGGCTGATATTTGTTAGCATTGGAAAGTGAGAAAAATGAGTGAAAATATTATCAGAAGCAGGTTTTGTGAATGAATCAGCCGACAAGAGGCTTACCAGCTTGCCTTGATTTACTAGAGTGGTGCTTATTTGGGCAGATGTCTATGTATTTTAGTTGGAGGCAGGAAGGAGCAAGAATTGATTGGGAAGGTCACTGCATTCATCACACTGCTTCTCTGTCACTCTGCACTGCTGGTCTTCTGAATGGATCTGGGCACTACATGGCAACCAAAATGCAGCCTTGCTACGCTCGCTCTCCTTGTATTGTTGATAGTTTCATGATGTCACTGAGAAGACAACAAAAAAGTCAAAAGGCTAAAGCCCTCCTAAAGTGGCTCATTGGGATTCAGCTCCTGGCTAGCCTTGCCCATCTTCTGCATGCGACTTTTTCATTTGATCCTGTCTGAAGGGCAGCCTCGTGGCCTTCTCTCTTCTCACTGTGTGTTTCTAATTAACGGGGAGACTTGTGGATAAACAGAAGATTCCTGCTCAAAAGTATTCCTTGCCCAGCTCCTCGGATGATAGCCAAAGCAGCAATTGCCAGGCAGCAGCCCAGACACTGAGCTCGCCCATCTGGCTATCAAGCCTCATCCAAATTCTTGTCTGGAACCAGTATTGAGGAAAGTTACGCACTTTGCCAGATTGGTTTTGCCCCATGTTTGCTTTTCAGTTGCTACCTAAGCAGCTTAAAAACTTGCAAACAAAACTCATTTAGTATTTCTGGGAAGTGTGCTGATCCCAGTACAGGGAGATTTGGGGCCAAAATCAAGAGGAAGTTCAAAAGGATATTGGACAGATCCACAAAGGATGGGGTCCTTTGGTGGCTTTTAAATCCTGTCAGGCAGATGCAATTTCCAGCGCAGATGTGCTGTTGCTACTTGTCTCTAGCACAAGTTGGGAATAGTCCTTCTGAGGCACATCCCCAAACAGATGCTGATGGGAATGGGATGCTGGGATGTGTCTGATGCAGCTCTCTTGGGCTGCTCTGCTGTCAGTCTACAGGCAGCCATGTGTTTTCTGAGTAATTGTGGACAAAACTCTTCTTGCATTTTCCTCTCTGGGATCCTAGGGTAGTAACACTATGGTGCACTGTGGAGAAGAGCTCAGGAAGCTGTGACATAAATAAGACTTTTGTTATTATCGTTTTTTTTTTTTACTCTGTATCAAGACGGTACAGTTATGTGCTGATAAAACATCACAATGCAGCTTCTAAGAGGAAGGTTGGATATTAGGAAAAACTTCTCTGAAAGAGTGGTTGGGCAATGGAATGGGCTGCCAGGAGGTGATGGGGTCACTGTTCCCCAGTATCCCTGGAGGTGGTTCAAAAAACGTGGAGATGTGGCACTGAGGGATGTGGGTTAGTGGGCAGTGTTAGTGGTACGTGGACAGTTGGAGTAGGTGATCTTAGAGGTCTTTCCAATCTTAATGAGTCTTCTATGCTTCTAGATGTTAAAATCAAGATGCTCTGCATGCTTAGACTTAGAGAAAGCAGGATGGACTTATAAATGAACTGCTATTACGTGAACTAGAGCATTGCGAGCCCTCTTTCGCTCATGGTTTAATGTGGTTTCTTATTATAAATATCTAGGGTGCTGGTTGTACTAGATGATCTTTGTGTGGTCTTTTCCAACCATTGTGATTCTACGATACAGCTGAAAATAAGAAATGCCAGTGCTATTCTGGACTGTGTTTGTTTGTGTTGTGAGCCTGAGTGCTCTGATTTCCCTTAGTATGCAAAGATGCTTTGCGTTTGTCACCTCTGTAGGACCAGAAGGATAAAACAGGGTGGAGGAGCTGAGGAGAGCCCAGTGTTATCCCAGCTTTTTTGCCAGCTGATTTTGAAGTGGCTGGATTAAATAGGGGTCTTGTGGCAGAGCTGGTATGCCACATAGGGTGGTTCCACAGTTAGAAGAAGTGGTCAAATCCAGCAGTAGATAGGCTGTGTGCTAGCAGCTGAATGAGTGAATAATGTACCACGTTTCAAATGATGTGAAAGATGATATGGCAAGGATGATTACTGAAATGGCAGGATCTCTGCGGGAAATTAGGGTGGCCATAAAAGAGAGGCGAGGTATTTTTGAAAGCGGTCCTGAGAATTTATTTTAGCACATTAATATTGAGTAAATATTCCTGGAGATACTCTAGGGGATGATAGATGGACTCAAGGTATTGTTACTAATCACTGTGGTTTTCAGTTTTGGAGCAGAATGCACTTGGCATCACTAACCCAACTGGACTTCTGATGGGAAAATTACATTCTTCGGGAAGTAATTTAGAAGGTCAAAGAAAAACCAGAAAGAACTTCTCCAGCAGCGATTTCCCCTGCTCTCTAAACTGTCTTTTAGTGCAGTAATAATAACTCCAGAATGAAAGAATCTATTCTCACCTTCCAGATGAAAGAGCTAATGCAATTTAAAATTTTTGCATGCAAAGATTTTATGGCTTGGTAACTGGCCATGCTTGAAAGCAATCCAGGATGGGATGAACACATGAGAGGCCTGGCTGAGCTTGACCCTTTCCTTGTCTCCTTTTTCTCCTACAGACAATGGTGATGACCGGTCTGAGAGCATCCTTGCTGAGAACCACGTGGACAGCACTGGGGGGATGTTGAGTGGAGCCAGCAGCAGGAAACTCATTAAAACAGGCATGAAGGAGCTGGCGGTGATGAGGGAGAAGGTGAACGAGCAGCAGCGGCAGATGGGCAAAGTGGGCAAGGCCCATCACAACCATGAGGATTCAAAGAAGTCGCGGATGCCGACAGGCAGGGTGAGAGGAGGAGGGGGGGAGGCAGAGCTCAAGGATATGCAGAATGCACAAGTGACATTTACAACAAACTGCCTTTAAAAGAGAAAAGAGGGGAGGGGAAAAGAAAAAAAAAAAAAAAAGAAAAGCAAACGTTTATTTTGGCCTGAAGCTGAGGTTGAACGCACCATCTGATGAACTTTGATGTGCTGGCGAGGAGGCGTTATTTTCATTGCAGCTTCAAATTCTGACAGCAGAGCTGGAGAAGGGGGGTCCTGCTGGCTCAGCACCAGCCCCCGCAGGCTGTGAGCACACTCCTTGCCTGCAACCCAGCTTTTGCACACCCTTTTTGCCCTAAGCAACTCCCCTGGGATGGCCTGTGGGATTTATGGTGTGGAACTCTGCCTGCTGGTGGATAGCCCCAGTGCACACAGGGTGAGCCTGAGGATAGGCTGTGGGGTTGTCAAGAAGCAGGACAGTACCCGATATGCTACCTGGCCTGCTGCCCTCCGGTCCTTGGCCATGGTTTCCCTCTAGTGGGCAGCTTGGTCAAGGCAACTAAATGTCATGGGGATGGAAAGCCACCTCCAAAAACTTTGTAATATTTCTCTATCAGCACGGGGTATTTATATCTGAGGAGCACAAGGACAGAGAGGAACTTTGAGAACCTCACCTCCAAGGAACAGGCAGAGCAGCTGTTTGTGGCCTCATCTCCCCTTCATGTGCTGTCCCAGATAAACCTTGCAACTGCAGTCCCTTAGGTCAAATTTAGCCTAACAGGCTGATGTCTGTGGGACAGATGTGGCTCCATGGCATGGTGCTGCCACCATTAGCTTAGAGAGTCCCCACAGTGTTGCCGCTTACCTAGGAGAAAAACAGCACATGCAGAAGGCAATGAGGTGCAGAGTTGTTCTGGCTAACACCAGGTGGAATTTTACTGGACTACCTTGGCTGGGTCCTAGGCTTTGGAGTTAGGTATTAGTTTGCTCTTTACCATGTGAAGATTTGAGGTTATGACATGGCAAATGGTCCCTTTACCAGGATGTACATTTGTTGTTTTTTATTTGTTTTCTTGGCTTTTTTCAGACCCCTTGTCAGCAGGAGCTGGATCAGGTCCTGGAGCGCATCTCTACCATGCGACTGCCGGATGAGCGAGGTCCCCTGGAGCACCTCTACTCCCTCCACATCCCCAACTGTGACAAGCATGGCTTGTACAATCTCAAGCAGGCAAGTAGGGATAGCTGGAGCCCTGGAGCCAGCTGCATTCCTGGCAGCATCACTATGCTCAGCACTGCACAGAAATTATATTCTACTCCTTGGATGGCAGGAAGCAGGTCCTAGGGTGTGGGGACTGCCTGTCTAGACCCAAAACATGGGGCTGTGGCATTTCTCATCAAGTTGTCATCACTAACAGGATGAGAGCTGAGTTTTCACTTATCTCCAGTACCTCTGTAGTGTTGTATGCCTTTGTTCCACCACAAATTAAATGATTGTATCATAGTGGTTTCCTAACAAGGGTTACAGGCATTGCTGCACTGCTGTCTGCTCCTTTCTCTTGGCTTTTTCTAGATTGAATGTCTGCAGCTTTGCAGGAGGTATGCAGGAGGACAAGCTGGGGGGCAGTATGGGTGTGGGATGTGCACAGGGAGTGATGAGAGAGATGATTCTTCTGCTCAGGTTGGAAACAGGAGCATTCTGAAGCTTTTCTGGCATAGGCCTCTCCCAGGAGAGACTTTTACCTTTGCTGACTGCTTCCTTTCCTCTCTGTTTCATTCACACACCTTCCCTGAACAGTTTTGCCCAGCAAAGGTTTGCAGCCGGACAAAATCAACCTTACCAAATGCAGGGCCTGGATCAGAGCTGGATGCATGATATCTGCAGTGAGAGGAATGGTCACGGGCTCGGGGGCATCAGCAGATGTTGCAGTAGAGTCTGCAGCTCTACAGACAGAAGCTCTCTTAAGCAGCAAAGCACCATCTGGGGGCTGGCTTGCATTGATAGTAGTACCTGGATGTGAGCACCTCTTATAGCTGTGCAAAATGATTCCTTGGAGAAGACCCAGACATCCTGCTGTTTTCATGGCTAAGCCTTTTTTTTTTTTTTTTTTTTAAGAGCTATTTCCACCCCTTGGTTGGGAGCATTTTTTCAAAAAAGAAAAAGCCAGAAATGTTAGAAAAGAGCAGATTGCTCTGAGATAATCTTGCTTTGTCCTTTTTCTTCTCTGCACTATGCGGAAATTGCACGTTGGTCATAGCTGCAGAAAAAGGGCACAAAAATGCTATCTCTTCTGCCTGCCCTGGGTGAGGACAAACATGAGGCCATTCCCAGTTTTCAGTCCATCTGGGTTTCTAGAGCTGAGTGTCAGCTCCTTTTCCTTGGTTGGAAACCAGATGCCAATAAAAGCATTCCTGGCTGCTCCCACCTCCTGTGGGTCAGGACAAGGTGGAGGGTGCCTTAATGTGCTCTCATGCTGGGGAGCATTTTTTTTTTTTTTTCCCCCCTGAACAAGGCTGCATTCTAATCTCAGTCCAGCTGCAGAAAATGGCTTGAATTCAGCTTTGCAGAATGCATGCAGAGTCTGTTGTAGGGGCTGGATCCTGCTGTGCCATGTTCAGGGGTGTATTCGTTTTGGGTGTGGGGGGATGAGCACCAGGTACAAGGTGCCTACAGCCTTGCATAGGCAAGGGGTGGATGATAGCCATTACAGCAAGAAACTTCTCTTTTACCAGAGCAGGCTTTGGAGTATAGAGACCATGTCCACACTTGCTGTGGTCACTGCTTCTGTGCTGGGATTGAGATCCTGTTCCCAAACATAGCTAAGTTGGTCCACGGGCCTTTGTTGTCATGTTTAGTTTGTTTAACTCAATTTGTAGGCAGAATGAAGCTGATGCAGCTGCTCTGTAAGCATATTTCATCCCTACTCACCCAGAGATTGTTGACTCTCTAGGTGCTTTCATCCACAGTTGAAAGAGAAATGTAATTTAGGGATGATTGTCCTCATGGTTCATTGAAATCAGCTCAGTGGTCCCATGCATAGAACCACTAATGTTGGAAAAGACCACTAAGATCATCTAGTCCAGCCATCCATGGTTTGAGGGAAGAAGCGGTGATGCTGCTACAGCACAGGCTCATCCAAGCCATCCGTGCTGAATCTCCAGAGAAACTATGGGGGTAAGGGTGGTCTTCTCCCTGTATCTCCTCAGCTGATGCCTGCTCTATCCCTTTCTCTGCAGTGCAAGATGTCAGTGAATGGGCAGCGTGGAGAGTGCTGGTGTGTGGACCCCATCCATGGAAGGGTGATCCAGGGTGCGCCCACCATCCGTGGGGACCCCGAGTGCCACCTCTTCTACACAGCCCATGAGCAGGAGGACCGGGGAGCACACGCCTTGCGGAGCCAGTAGATGGATGTAATCCTGCTTGCTGTGGCCCCGGTGCTGGATTTTTTACATGGGTTTCAGCATGTCTCTTTTAGGCTCTGGAAGAGACCGGGGTTGGGTCCTGTGTGCTGCCCTCCTGCTGCCCCAGTTCTTGGGGAGGGAAGAGATGACAGGAGGGGAAGGGTGGGGGGGAGGGAGGGGAGGTTGCAAGGAGAAGGGACTGCTTTCCTATAGTCTTTTGCCCAATGTCAGCCAGAGAACCAGTCTTTTTTGCTCCTCGCCCCGTGGCCCTGCCTCCCTACTGCTTTGTGGCATATTCCTGCAGGCAAAACACCTAACCATGGGTGGGAGGGGGAAAGAAAAAAAAAAAAAAGAAACAAACAACAAAGTTCCATTTCCCTTTTCCTCCCTCCCTTCCCCGAGACCAAAGACTGTAAATACTGCCTCTTGTGTCCTGCCTGTCCCCTGTGCATTGGCCCTGGCGTGGGATGCGGTGTGGGAGGGAGGGAAGGAGGGAAGTCCCTGCTTTCTAGTTGGAGCGTGGCAGCATGATGGGGCTGCGTTCCTCAAGGGGGCATCGCCAGGGGATAAGGATGAGGCAGCCCCCTGAACCACTGCTGGTTGCAGTCAGCCCTGCTGCTCTGGGAGGATGGGGCCTTTGGGTGACTGTGGAGCTGAATGCTTGGTTTTCTGAGGGGTTTGGAGGGCTGCTGCCCGGTATTTCTTAGGATTGGCTTAAGCTGAGGGAGCTAAAGTGAACTTGCCGGGGCTGGGTGGAAGGATGCCTGTGTAGATGTAGGATAATAAGCCAGGGAGTGTCTCTCTTTCTTTCTTTCTAGATAGAAAAAACCCATCTAAAACCTGCACTCCCAGCAGCTGCTCTTGTCCCTCCATTTTCGCTTGGGACAGGAGTGAGCATCTGCTTTTCAGCGCACACTTTTTTTATTGTAAGTACAGTATATATCATGCTTTGTAAAGGCCCAGACACACACGCACCCCTCTGCCCACGTGCATGTTTGTATAGGTTAAATCCAAGCAATTGCAGGCGCTCTGAGATGTTTTGCACTGGACGTGCTGCTGTGAGGACCGATGTCTCTGCCATTACTTCACCTGTTGATTTCTTTCTGTACAGAACACACCGACGCTGAGAATAAATAACTTCCCTGTCGCCGAAGCAAGGAGACTTTTTCTTCCTTCCCCCCCATTTTTAATGTGGATTCCATTTGCAAAACAATTGCCAACATTCTTATCCTTACTACAGTAAGGGGAGAAATATGGAGTTTTTTGTGGGACCTTGGGTAGGGCTGGGATGGGCCCACAGAGGGGTTGAGGGGTGCTGCCAGCATGCTCTCCTTGGGGCTGTGGGACAAACACCACTCACCTAGGGACTTGGGGCTGGGGAAGGAAAAGCAAAAAGCCCAAAACTCTGCAGTAATGGGAATGCTGGGGTTTGTTGCTGTTCCCCCCCCCCTTCCTGGCCCAAAGTTTCTCAAGCACAGAGAGCAGGGACAGTCTGTGCAGATTGAACTCCTCACGTCCTTGCAGGAGTTTGGAAGTGTCAGTGGAGGAGAAAAGGAAAATGCTTTGGGGCTGTGGTGGGAAAGTGATAGAGAGGTGTGTGTATGTGAGAGAGAGAGAGAGGGAGTGAGAATATATCAGAGAGAAAGAGAATGCACCTGAATGCAGAACTGAGTAACTGTAAAAATGATGCTACCTGTCTTCTGTTAACAGCACAGGGTGCTCAGCTTTTCCATGTAAACCATGCACGCTCTGGCTGTCAGCTGCAGTTTGTACTTTTTGTTTTGTTTAGGAACCAGGAAGTTTTCTTTTTGTGTTTTTCTTTTCTCTTTGGGATACGCTGAGCTGCGTAAAGTTGGAATAAATTAAATGGGATGCCAGAAAACTGTCATCTTCCCCCTCCCCAACCTTCTCTATTAAATAGAGCATGTTTTCTTGCCTGATGCATCACACACAAACTTGGGCTTTTGCCCTGGGGGTGTTGTAAATGCTGAGCCCAATGAGCAGTATTGGGAGTTTGGTTGTTACCCCTGCTGGTCCCAGTTGTGTGAGCTGAGAAGCTCTGGTGTCACCCCATCCCCTCTCTTCCTGCTCTGCGGGTGCTTCTGCAGTTCTGCACAATGCAGCCATGCCTTTGAGTCCTCTCAAGTCAGCATCTGCCCGACATGTGTGCGGAGGCAGTTTTGCTGCCTGATGGCAGGCAGGCTTGGTGTAAAAACGTGGTTTTTGGGAGGTGGTTTCTGGGAGGGGGGCTGTAGGAGCACCCCATTCAACCTGGGAGCTCTGTGAGAGCTTTGCAAGGGCACAAAGCCCCTCTGCCCAGCACTGGCACCCCTGGGACTTCAGCAGATATTTGGGTGAAGGTCAGCTCCTCCCAGACTCCCAGCCTTCAGGATTTTGGGTGCTTTTCAAGTTGGTGCTTGCAGCCGGTCATGCTTTTGTCAGCCAGCAGATGGACCTGTTCTCCAGGGATCATCCTGGCCTTGCTGGTTTTATCTCTGCTGCCTGTGCAGAGTTCTTGGACTGCAGGAGTAAAATCTCTATGGCCAAAAGGAGCTTGGGACGCCATGGCAAAGCAAAGAGTAATGATAATAATTGCAAGCCATGCTTAAAAGCTGAAATTGCAGTGCTGAAGGAAGAGGTTCAGCATGGTTGGGGCTAACCAGGACTGTGGCATGGAATGCTCTGTGGGTGGGCCTGATGAGTAGGGGGTGATGGTGACGAGGAACTGGTAGCATAGCCCTGACTGAACTGTGTGGAAAGCCACCTTTCAGTTCTGGCATGGCTGACAGTTCAGCAGCAGTGCTTTCCTGCCTGTCAGCACAAGTGCCCTGGTGTTGGCTGATTTCCACACCTTGGGCTGTGTATCACTGAGGGGCAGTGGGATACAGGCCCCACAGTGCGCTCTGGCCCCAGGGTGAGGAGCCCATTGCAGATCAGGCAGTTGGGTCTGGTGGTGCAGATAGGGTGGGGGATTTATGTTAGCACAGCCCAGCCACCTGTATGGGGATAAAGGGGACATTTTTTGTCTCCTGTTCTGCTCTGGGCGCGTGGAATGATGTTGGCAACTGAGGCAGATGGTGGGATGGGGGCATGGGACAAAGGGGTGTGTGGGAAGATGAAAGGTTGTTTGAGCAGAGGGGGAGGACATGGGTGGTGGGAAGGGGCACTGAGGGCTGTCATGAGGTTGCTGAACACTACAGCCTTGCTGGGCTCGTGTGCCCTGCAGGGATGGGATGGGGATATTCCTGCTCACCAAGATGTTGGGGCAGGATTTCCCACTGCCTGGAGAGCTTTGAGGCTCAGATATCACATCCTGAAGTGTTGAGATTGATTTGGGGTAGCAGCTGGGTGCTCAGCATCATGGGCATCAGATCCTTGGAGACATACAAGAAAATGGTAGATGTAGCACCAAGAGCCATGGTTTAGAGTGGTCACAGGTGTGGGTTGATGGTTGGACTAGATGATCTTAAGGTCTTTCCAACCTTAATGATTCTATGACTCTACAATTCTCTTTCTCTTCATGACCCAGCAGAACATGGGTGCTGCAACCCCACCCCTGCAAATAGCTAAAAAATTACAGCTCAGCAGTAAGGGTGTTCTAAGCTAAACCTTTGAAATTTAGCACTGTCTTAGCAAAGTTCTCTGGGGTCTAAAGCTTGCCTAAGCCATTGCCACCAGGTCACCCTGCCCTGTCGGACCCATAGAGCTGGCTGAGTCCCCAGGCACAGCGTGCTGATGGCAGGGCTGGCACGCAGACACTCTACGAGGGTCAGGCACAAGCTAACTGAATGCATAACTTTATTAAATAAATGCTTTGTCATGAGAAAAGACAAAGATCAAAGAGTAACATAAATTATAAGTTGAATAAATAGTATACAGCAATCTTCACTTTTTAATAAAATGTGAGATTTTTTTTTTTAAGTACAAAATGCTAAACAGAGCATTAAGCTCTTCTTCCATTGTCAGTTTTTCACAAACTGCTTTTTTTTTTTTTCCCACCAGTAAGATTATGAATATTTCTTGTTTACTGGA